ACTGATTTTTTTCTCCTATTCAGCATGGCTGGGCGGAAGCATGGACCCCAGTGCGCCTGCTGCAGTTCCAGCGTGGTGCGTTTCTACTATTGCGGTCGACAATCCTGCGGACCCTGGAACTTCTATGGTTCAACATACCGACTGTAAGCGATGCCACGAGCGTCTTACAACTGTTTCGCTGATTGTGTTGTACTTAGTTGGTTTCTACTTTTTCGACTTTGCGTCCGCCCATGTCACCGCCGCTGTCTATAATAACTGGGCTACGGGAGGTACAGGAGGAGGAGGTGCGCAGCAGTGGAATTTTTAAATCAACTTTTGCCCAAGCCATTTAGGTCCGCCGACGACGACGACCACCACAACAACAACAGCTGCGCCAACAGGAACGGTGAGATCCAACCAGCCCTGTCCATCGAATACATGTTGATTAATTTTCCAGGCGACTCCGTACGAGTCTTTGGCCTTGCCCACCTATTAGGATCGCTGATATCTCGATATCTAGCTACGACTATATCATCGTCGGGTCTGGACCTGGCGGTATAATCGCTGCCGATCGGATATCGCAAGCCGGAAAGTCGGTGCTTCTGTTAGAGCGTGGAGGGCCGAGCACAGGTCAAACTGGTGGGACGTACCAACCGAACTGGGTGAGTTTATAACCTTGTTTTTCTAATGACCGTCTGGCTGAATACCTTTCAGGCGAAAGGAACCAATGTAGTTCTCTCGCTTTTATTGTGTTCGAAGTTCATTTTTTAATTTCCAACAGTTCACCAAGTTCGACATTCCTGGGCTGTTCGAGTCCATGTTCACCGATGCCAACGACTTTTGGTGGTGCAAAGACATCACGGTCTTCGCGGGATGCCTGGTGGGTGGAGGGACATCTGTCAACGGCGCGTACGTAAATTCAAAATCGTTGAATTCTGTCGCTAATTTGCATAGTCTTTACTGGCTTCCCTCTGACTCGGACTTCTCCACAAACAATGGCTGGCCCACGCAATGGGGAAACCACGCCCCGTACACGGCGGCACTGAAGGCTCGGCTCCCTCCCACGGATGCTCCGTCCAGAGATGGCAAGCGATACCTTGAACAAACGTCAACGGTAGTTTCGCAGCTACTGAATAGCCAAGGCTATCGCAATGTAACTATCAATGATTCACCCAACTCGAAAGATCACATTTACGGTTCGCTTCCTTTTGTGGTTCAATTCCATCTATGTTCAACTTTCCGCTTTAGGTTACGCGGCGTACGACGTGAGTGGATCGTGGTCCCCGTTAGTTCTGTCTCATCACTGGTTCCCAGTTCATTGCCGGCAAACGTGGCGGTCCGGTTGCGACGTATCTCCAGACCGCCTTGGCGCGCAAGAACTTCAAGCTCAAAATGTACACCAACGTGTTGAACGTTGTCCGCAACGGCTCGCAAATCACTGGTGTCAAAACGAACGACACGACGGTTCCCGGCGGAATTTACCCGCTGAATCCCAATGGTCGTGTTATCCTTTCGGCGGGCTCGTATGGGAGCGCGCGGGTACTTTTCCGCAGCGGGATTGGTCCGAGCGTGAGTTGCTTCTGATCATCGGGGAGATTTTTTGTAACAGTCGACAGGACATGATCAACCTCGTTGCGGGTGATCCTGTCGCGGGGCCAAATCTCCCGCCATCTTCGCAGTGGATTAATCTGCCAGTAGGATACAATGTGGGTGGTTCAAATAAATATTCATCAGGCTCGGGATTGAACCATGAACGCAGGTGTCGGACAACCCGTCTATCAATGTGCGTAGCTTTTTTCACGCAAGACTCGTGTGTTGACGACCCAACTAGCTTGTGTTCACCCACCCATCAATGTGTGCATCTATTCAACTTCCCGGATTTCTGTTGACCAGCGAATTCATAGAAACTCGTATGACAATTGGGCAGACGTCTTTACTGACCCGCCTGCGGCCGATGCTGCTCAGTATCTGGCTTCTCAATCCGGCATCATGGCACAAGCATCGCCCAGGTACTGCCTCCACTTTCATTCCTGCCTTGGTTTCTAATAGGGAAAAAGACTCAACTTCTGGCGTGCCTATGGCGGAACCGATGGTGCCACGCGATGGGTACGGATTTCTTCGACCTCGATGAGCTAAAGTTTAACTTGCATTGCCAGTTGCAAGGCACCGCGCGTCCGGGCGCTGCCTCTGTTACCACCAATTATACGTATAACGCAACGTTTGTCGTTTTATCTTCGTGTTGACATGACCTTATATCGCTGTCAGCCAAATGTTCACAATAACAGCATACCTGTGCGTTGCAGCGCTGAACTTCGGGCCCTAGCATTGATTGACGTTCAAAGGTCCACTGGAATAAAGTCTCGCGGACGACTAGGAATCAACGCCGCTCTCAATGCATTGCCGCTCGTCAATCCTTGGCTCGTAGATCCGGTTGATAAATCGACCCTCATCCAAGGTCTCCAGGACATCGTCTCGGGCATGTCCGCCGGTATGGGTTTTCAGCCCCCTTCGTTTTAATTCGCCTCACGATGACCAGTCCCGGGAATGACCATGATAACCCCCGACAACACGACGAACATTGTCGACTATGGTACGTTCCTTGCGCATTCCTGCCACCCACGCTAACCTGAATTTGAACAGTCAACAACTACGATCCAGTGAGTATGACCGAAATTATTTAGACCAATTTCTCACCCGAGATGCAGTCTACCATGGACTCCAACCACTGGATAGGATCCAACATCATTGGGACCGCCGGTAAGGCCGTCGTGGACGTGAACACCAAAGTGTTCAACACGAACAATCTGTTCGTCGTCGATGCATCGATCATACCCTCGCTGCCTTATGGTAATCCGCACGGTACGCTCATGTCAGCAGCGGAGCAGGCGGCGGCGAAGATATTGGCGCTGGCCGGAGGCCCATGATATCGAGGTAGATACCTTGTACAGTTATTGAACGACTTCTGAGTTCATCCTCGGCGTTGAGTTCTTTCAAGGGAACGGCCCATACAATACCGAGATACAGGTATAACGACCATTCTGTCCAACTAATTTTCATTGGAAAGCCAGGCATACGGTCATTGAAATATTTTACCGAGCCTTAGTTAGAAAAATCAGCGGCATACAGGAACGGGCTGGGATTGGACTTGCCTTGATGTATATTTTCGACTTGTCTTCTATGCGGATGTTCATGCCCTCTTCCACCAACGCATTGAATTGAAGAATTTTATGCGTGGCAGCTGCTTCGTCGTCGCCGAATCCCGATGTCTCCCAAACCATGCGGAAGGATGCCAACTCCGCACAGCCGCTATGGCGGGCATGCCATCTGTCCGCCAAGCGTGGTTGCAGCGTTTGCAGCAGTTCCAAGGCCCAAAGGCCCCCGGCCAGCGTCTTCCCGCACGCGAAGAAAGAAAGGTGTTGGAGCTGGGGGAGGAAACTGGTATCCGAGCCGAGGGATTCAAGGAAATCTCTCGCGAATGACGCCACAGGGTCCCAGATCTCAAGTTCAACAAGTCCGGGCATCAACAGAAGAGCGGCTAACTCTATTTCAGTCCCCAATTTTTGGCGGATGACGAATTTGCGCAGAGGCGGTGAAGAACGGGACAGGAATTCACTGAACATCTGATCGTCGAAATTACGGTAATCGCAATCGAGTATTTGTAGAGCTGTGAGGGCGGGTAAAGTGAGGAATTGTAGAATGCCCGTATCGTATACGGGGTCGCCGTCAACTATCGTCTCGAAGAAGGTGAGAGACTGCAGGCTTGAGTGGGTCGTGTCGGGGTCATCATGCCACATGCTTTCAGGATCGATGTCCCCACGTTCCGCATAACCTGCGAAGGCGCATTTCAAGAGGTTTGGACTGTAGCGAAGGAAGTCCAGACATTCCTCGATAGTATACAATTTGCCACTGAATTTGGTCAGTTGGTTCCAAGAAATGATCCAAAATGGTTGCGGGGCCAGGCTGAGCGACATCTCGCGAAGAAGAGGGGCGCGCTCGAATATTATAATAGGGAGGTCGTCCAAATTGAAATTTTCGTCTATATCGCAGATGTTCAGCTTCCGAAGCATGGGGAAATTCCAGGAGCGGTGCTCCGAGGCGTCTATGTGCTGGAGGTCTACTGCAGATGTCTCCAACTCCAGAGATTGCAATGTGCGTGAACGGTCAAAGAGTGTTTTGAAGATGGCAAAAGCATCGTCCTCCGGAATATTCAACTATCCGTGGAGATTCAACGCGAGGGGATATCCGCCCGCACGCTCCAGCCACGTTGTGAACAACTCCGGACTCGGGGCATTGAATTCTATCGCAGCCCACAACGCATGGGTGGAGATGGCTACTTCTCTCCAGCGCCTGCAAACATGCGACAGGAGCATCGGAGCTTCGCTGGATTCCACCGAGTTCCATTCGCGGTCGGTGTAGGATGTTGGAAGGCAGTGGAGAAAGATCTCGGAGGTGATTTCGGGGGGTAAGGTGAGCACTGGGTAGACGATGGAATCTAGCTGACGCTGGGCATTCTGTCGCTTCTCTTGTAGTTGGGCTATCTGGGCGGTTGTCTCTGCGACAACGCTACGGAGGTGCACGCTGTTGAGGGATAGAGTGTGGTCCATGTGGTTGTGCTGCATTCTTGAAAAGTTCATGACACGATCAGGTCGACTTGTTTCGTTATTCTCAGAACGCGCTCAAAAAAAATTCCGGAAAAATTTCTCAAGTCCTTCCAAAATTCGGACTTAGTGCACAAAACCCTTACCCGTCCTCTTACCAGCATTAATGGGGTAGTGGTAACCTGGGTTGTTGTGTGCACTACTTGTAGGGCTGATGTCCAACTTTTCCATCCACACGAGCACAGAGGGACATTGCGATCGCCACTTTCCCACGAGGGTCTCCTGCGATCGATCGACTTTAGCTGTCCAGTCAGAACTCGCTCAAACCTGCTCAAAAAATTCCGGAAAAATTTCACAAGTCTTTCAAAAATTCGGACTTAGTGCACAAAACCCTTACCTGTCCTCCTGCCACGCCTTATAACAGCATTAATGGGGTAGTGGTAACCTGGGTCGTTGCCATTGAAATCCATCACGTGATGGATTACGTACGCGGGTTCGACCCGCCGGGGGTTCGATTCCCTCTTAATGCATGTGTTTTTGTGTTCAGATTTTTGTCTTTTTTCTTTGCGTTGCTCCTTTTGTTTGCTCTCGTCATGTGCATGCAAACCAGGTTGGCTTACATAAATCCTCAAAATTTGTCTCGGTTTTCAAAACGGTATTCCCTCGCCGATGAAACACAACGGCATGGTGGAGCATGGTGGCCGTAAAAATTTAAAACAAAACAACAAAACACCGAGATTTATCACGGGCAGTCTGTCCGTCGTGGGTTGTGCCCCACCCAAGCGTCGCGATGGCGCGCTCGCGCAGTTCCTGAATGCACAATCTGCAAGGCCCTGCAAGGCCGCGGTCCACTGGCGCTGTCGTACGCGTCTAGGCCCTCAGGGCGATCTGGCGGCTGTTCATCAATGTTGAATTCCGTCGGACGTCATAGATAAGGGGGGGCGGGCGACTCGGCGGTCGTCCAGCGGCTCAGAGTCAGTGCTCAGCAATTGAGGGCACAGTGCGGGTGAAACGAGTTGAGGACGAGGCGGGGGCTTGGTTCCTGGTTGGGCAGTTTTCTCTCGTCGGCCTCGTGGGACTGGGCCGCCAGACTTTTAATGCCGAAATTAAAAGAACCAGCAGCTGGAAGCCTTGCGTTCAGTCTGTCTGTCCCACAGAGACTTGAAAGACATTTCGAACTATGCAGGGCTGGCGGAGTTTGAGTTCCAGCTTCCAGCGAAGCTCAATTACGTCGGCTAGTTGTCGGCAAACAATCTCCGTATCGCGATCCGAGATAACAGTTGACAACATTTGGCTACGTTCCCAGCCGCACTGGCCTCACCGCCTTCGATACGCTAACTCAGATATCCAAAATACGCATATCGGCAGCGGTACGTAGCGGCCTTTCATGCAGTCATCCGCGGCTCATCATCCACCCTGAATAGTAACCTTCTTGTGGCAGGATCCATCCGGGATTCTCCTCGCTGAAGCCTGGCTGAATCATCCAAAGAATCATTCCTGCATCATGGATACGGCCTTATCGCTGATGTTTCCGCAGACTTGGCGACGCCTTTCTGACGAAGGAGGCTCTGGTTGTCTGACGCTATCGCTGCGTCATGGGTAAAACGGCGGGTGAAAAAAAAATGGTGGGAATCAGACGTGCCCTAAGGAATACAACTGGTGATTGGATACGGGATGGGTGTCCGGGGTCTGCACCTGATCGGTCAATTCCCAACGCAGACAGGGAAGCTCAAAAAATGCTGCAATCCACCATGGCCACGCTCCTTGTCTGACCCACACTGTTCTGTTGCTGCCTGCGGCCAACCTTCTCCGCCCTCTCTGCACCGCCCACCGCTTGCTAACGCCGACCAGTCCCTCTAGGCCTTATCGCCCGGTCTCTCATCCCCGTCTTGCCCCTGCATAACCGTTCTCCCGTTCACAGAAATGTCACGGCTCACGAAACAAAGTCGAACCCGCAACTCTGCGCAGTCCCAAGAGTCTGTCCAACTCACCTCCGACCCTCTTTCGCCCCCGCGCCCTTTCTTCTTTGCCTCGGACACCGCTCGCAGCTCGGCTTCGGAATCTTCCTTATCGGACTCGGATAAAGAGACCCAGCAGCCCTCTCCCCGCGCCCCGCAAGCCCGCCGTCGCTCAGGCATGTCTGCATCCACCCCGTACGCCCCAGTCGCCTCGGGCACCCCCATTTCCCCCAACTTTTCGCGCCGTCGCAACTCCAACGGCATAGCAGGCCCGTCGAACCCCTTCGCCGGAGAGGCCAGCGACACCGGCTACTCGTACCAAGAAGGCGACGCCTACGCCCCCATCGCGGGTGCAGGCGCCGAGGACCACGAGCTGTCCTCCCCGATATCCCCGGCTTGGAACCCTGCGAATCTGTACTACAATGATGTCGAGGAACCTGCCTCTCCTGGCCGCGGGCGTGTGAGCTCCCGCCCTCCGCCCAGCAGCTACCAATTTCCGTTCCAATGCAAGTCTTTTTTTTTTTTGGTTGTGGAGCCCCGATCCTAATTTCGAATTCGAATAATAGCGCATCCGGGAAACCCCGACCCGCTTCCGCCGAGGCGGCGCTCTGGCTCGTTCGAGAGCCTCACGTCTGACCAGAACCACTGGCCGGCGCAGGGGGCGCCGCAGCGTGCCTTCTCGGATGCGTCGCACGAAGGCCTCCCGCAGCCCAACGCGCCCTTCATGACCGCGGGCGACCGCAACAGCGCGTCGAGCTCGTCGATCAGTGGGATGAGCAACAGCGTGTTCCGCGGGAGCGCCGCGGCGGGGATGATGTCGCCCTCGCAGACGGCGCTGCACCAGGCGTTCCTCGCGGGGCAGGCGTCCGCGTCCCACGCGGACCTCGGTGGCGCGCCAGCGCCACCGTTCGCGACGCCCAGCGGGACGCTCCCGCGCACGTCGTCGACGACGACGTTCCGCGCGCCGTTCCTCTCGCCCGCGTCGCGCCCGAGCTCGTCGCTGTGGAGCCCGCCGTCGTACGCGAGCAACGGGCTCGGCGGCGGCCCGCAAGGCGGGTCCGCGACTGCGCTCGCGCTGCCGGCGCCGCCTGCGCCCGCGCCGTCGACGCGCCTCGCGGGCAAGCTGGGCAAGGAGGAGAAGCCGTGGCTGCAGCGCTCGGCGCCGCGCGCGCGCGCGTCGTGGTGGCTCACGTTCCTGTGCATGGTGCTCGGGCTCGCGGGTGCGGCGGCGCTGTGTTTCTTCGGTATCGAGAGCGTCGACGTGTTCAAGAATTCTGACCTGTGCTCGGTGCTCGACGAAACCTTTAGCGGCTCGAGCCTCGACACGCAGAACACGTGGACGCGCGACGTGCAGCTCGGCGGGTTTGGGTGCGTTTCCTTTCCCCCTTGCTTTTTTCTATGTGATTTCTGACATGCGCACAGGAACGCCGAGTTCCAGATCGCGACCAACTTTGACAACAACTCGTACATCAAGAACGGGCAGCTGTACATCATGCCGACGCTGACTGTCGACACGATCGGCCAGGACACGCTCACGGGGGGCTCGTACACGGTGCCCGACTGCACCCAGGCACTCACGAACGCGACGGCGTGCACCGCGTCGGGCGGTACGGGCGCCGTCGTGAACCCGGTTATGAGCGCGCGCATCAGCACGGTGGACCACTACTCGATCACGTACGGGCGCGTCGAGGTGCGCGCGAAGCTCCCGCGCGGCGACTGGCTCTGGCCCGCGATTTGGCTCCTCCCCAAGGACGGGACGTGGCCCCTCGCGGGCGAGATCGACATCATGGAGGCAAGGGGGAACAGCCCGGCGTATGAGCAGCAGGGGAGCAACTTCGTGCGCTCGACAGTACAGTACGGGCCGCTCGACAGCGTCGTGGCAAGGCTCTATGGGTGGTACGGGCTGAAGCGCACAAGCTTCGACAAGGGCTTCCACACGTACGGGATGGAGTGGAACGACAAGTGGATGCGGTTCTATGTCGACACGCGCGTGCATACGACGCTCGACATCACGACGAAGACTAACAAGCAGAGCTTTTGGAACCGCGCAGGGTTCCCGGACACGGCGCAGAACGGGTCGGCGATCGTGGAGCTCGACAACCCGTATGACAGCATCAACGCGCCGTTTGACAAACGTAGGTGTTTTCAGGCGCTTGCACGAAACGTACTGACAAGCGCGCAGCGTTCTATCTGATCATCGACCTTGCGGTGGGTGGGACGAGCGGGTGGTTCCCCGACAAGGTCGGCAACAAGCCGTGGTTGGACGGCTCGCTGAGTGGGTTTTTTCTCTTTCTCTTCAGTCACACGCTGACCGCGCTGCAGCGGCCATGTACGACTTTTGGCAAGCCAAAGACACTTGGTTCGCGACCTGGCCCACCAGCGACGCAGACCGTGCCTTCCGCATGTGAGTCGCCTTGGCCTATTTATTTTTCTAGTGTTTCGCGGTCGCTGATGCCCGTCTGCAGCGACTCCGTCAAGATGTGGAAAAAGTGCTAAAGCCATCCCACAATCCTTGAACGCAAATGCACAAAATTGAACACACGCCTGCATACCCTGGAGCACTTGGGCTCCCGTCTCTGGATACCTTGCATGCATGCACGCACACACGCTCGCTTTGGACACTGTTTGAAACCGAAACTCAATTGTTGCTACAGATAGACGATTGTAGCTTTGATAAATATAGAATATTGATGGTAGATTTGATGCCCCATCACCACTACGATAGCGTCCGAGAATGGAACTTTAACCCCTATTATCCCGCGGCGTATTCGCGCTTGTTAGGCGCACTATGACCGTCTCGTGACGTCATACTACAATCGGGGCCGGCGCGTGGGTTTCACGTTTTATGGATACCGGACTGTACAGGACAAATGCCAACGATTTGGAAAGGTGAAATGGCAGAAAAAAATTTAAAGAGTCAGAAAGACGCGTAAACGCAGGGTTATGTTGCAATTGTGCGGAGGGACAGAGGAGAGAAAGAAACCAAATGGGAAATCGGTTGTTTGCTTCCGAGATCAAGGACCCCGATCACCGCGTTATCGCACTCTTTACACTTGGTTTTCAATTCAATTTTTTTTGGCCATCTGGGCTCTGCCTTGTGCTGGCGTGAGAAGTGCTTCGGACTCTAAGTCCTTGTCTCCACCGTCCATCTTGCTGACAGCCCTCCAACTCTATTCGGGCTCCGCGTCCCCCTCCCTCCGCTAACCTTGACGTCCCTCAGCGCACTTGGTCTCTTTCTCGTTCTGCAGCCATGGATTACGATCGCTGGGATGCCCTCCTCCACTATCTTTTCCGCCAGACTCAGGGCGATGCCTGGTTCCGCCCTGACGAGCCTGTTTCTTCTGGGGTCGCCCTCCGTGTATCGGACGGCTCCGTCGCCGGCGGTGGCAGCGGCGGGAACACCCCAACTGGTGCGCGATACGGGTTATTCTCCAGGCGCGCGACGTTTTTTCTCATCCTCCTCCAGGACAAGGCTCCGGCCCCGAATTCCGCGTCTTTCCCTACGAAAATCCGGCGCTAGAGCCCTTCGAGACTGCCGTCGCGGCTCTGAATCCCCAGGTTGCAGTCAAGGT